TATCTCCCCTTTCTGAGAGGGTCAATTTCTATTAATTTATTAAGGAGGGTTTTTATGTCCTCGTCCAAAAGCGTATCTGTAGAAATGGAACTATCTGCTTCTTCTCTTTTAATTAAGCCCTTTATTAAAACAATACTTTTTAAGCACCAGCAGTTATCCAATCCGTTATCATCTTTTTCTAGTCCATTCAATTCTTCGATTAATTTTAACTGTTCTTGAAGAATATCTTTATAGGTTGTCCTTTCATTTGTAGAGCTTCGTAAATCATCCAAAAAAAATTTGTCTGTAATTAACCAATATAAATAGAGCCACACGGAAGTGTCCTCCGGATCCATGTACATACCAGTCTTGATCAATTCTAGATCATGGACCATAATACTATAAGGAGATTGAAACAAATGGCTAATATCTGAAAATTCATTTTTATCGTCTAACTCCTTAAGACCATGGTATATTTTAGGAACGAGTTTTGTACGATTATGCCAAGCTGAAAAATTGGATATATTCTTATTAATTTTTGCGGTAGTATATTCAAACTCTTTGATATCTATCCTTAAATGTGCCAATTTCTCTAAATGGTTTTGATTATCATACTCCCTCGCAACTTTTTTCTGTATGTTTTCTACCAAATACCTTCTGTATTGCCATCCATGAAAGTTTCGGCTGTCCATTTCAAGTAACTTCGAAACGATAGCCAATTCGACATCCCAATTTGCTTCATTTGTAGCTTGTAGCTGATTTAAGCACCATATTCTGTGATTCCATATCCAATAACATTTAGGAAATCGTTTCAATTGGGACATTACGATTTTAAGATCGTCTTCTAAAGCTTCCTTCTTCTCAAGAATATTCTTAGAGAAAAGCTCTAACAAAATTTCACGACGATAATTCCACACAGTGTAAAACTCTGGGTTCAACAATAATACATTTGTCGTTTTGTTCAAGGCATCCTCTGTATAGATCTTATTTTCTTTGTCTTGTAAAATATCAGTGATTGAATTTCGATAATATTCGATTTTCGTCTTATCCTTTTCGGCCTTAGCTTTCTTAGCCACCTCTGTTAACCTCTCTCTTTTAATACCGTGTTGCTTATTTAGTTAGCATATATTCAATTAATCATTGCTGTATTAATACGTACCATTTAATAAAATAGAATTATGATGCTATGAAGTCTTATCATATTTGGTGAGATTTCAAAATATATCAATTACGCGAAGATTGATCTGTTTATAAAAGAAACAACTTCCTATCAGCTGTCACTAAAAGCATATATCAATGACGTCTTCAAGCTCACAGCTAGCAAAGCTTGCACTCAAAGGATCACTGAAGATTGTTGCTGATTACTTTGAATTTGCGATTAATAGCATACTATTTCAAAGAGGTATTTATCCACCAGAAGATTTTCATACGATCAAGAAATATGGACTACCATTATTGGTATCTGCAGATGATGACGTTAAGGCATATATAGATAAAATAATGCTGCAGGTGAAGAAGTGGATATATGGAAGGAAGATTGGAAAATTAGTGGTGGTTATAATTTCCAAATCAACAGCAGAAGTAGTAGAAAGATGGGAGTTCAATATTGAAATATTACAGGATAATGACAACAATAATGAAGATAATAAACAAGAGATAGAAAAACCTAAAGAAGAGAGTCATAGGGAAATACAAATGATCATTAGACAGATTACGTCGCTGGTGTCATATTTGCCTCTTTTAGAGGTGGACGAATATACGTTTAACGTCCTAGTACATACAGACCCAAATTATGATACTGCTCATATACCAAATGAATGGTGTGATACGAATGGTAACGCAAAATTAATTGGAGGCAATTCAATTGAACAAGTCAAATTCAAATCATTTAGTACCAACATCCACGAAATAGGTACAAGTGTGAGTTATAAATTAGATGAAACTTAAATTAATTCTAAGCTATATAATCAATATATAATTGCATTTTAAAAAGATGGTGAATCAACATTCAGCGATGTATCGGTATTGTTATTTGCGTTAGAAGTGTTGTTTTTGTCACTTTCTAATGCGTCCAATTCCAAATTAAATCTTCTTCTCTTATTACCCAAAATGAACCTGGCAGAACCTTTAGCACCCACATTATAATCCCAGATTTTCAAATATTCATCTTGGCGCAAGGTGGTTGGATCAAGACAAGACTTTTCTGATAAAACCTTTAAATCGTTGAATCTCGATTTTAATTCCATAAACTTAAAAATCTGCTCTTTTCCAGTTTCTAAGTCAACTGTAGGCATGAAATTATTCAAAATTGAAAAATTCATCTGGTGAACGTAATAATCTAAAATATAGAGGATTCCCTCATTTACTAGTGTTTCAGGACATCTGAAGTCTTTATAGCAATCAATCCTTTCTAAGATTTCATTTAAATTATCTGGAGGAATGTCTGTTTCCAACTTATTGTATTTTGTATGTAAATCTTTTGGCTTTAAATTCAACGTTATTATAATTATTGCTAATGCAATACAATGCGGTGGGATCATTAAGCACAATGGAGTTGACATGATGTCAAAACTTATTAACCAACTGTGCATGGTAGTTTTATAATCTATGTCTAACTTTTTACAGAATTTGACTACTAGCTGGTCGATCGATTGAATAGTTGAACCATTCTTGAAATCAAATTTAATCACCTGTAGTAACTTAAACTCAATATTCATTATAGTTTTTCTCTGTACGTCAACGAAGGACGAATTCATCTGTATTTTATTTTCCTCGTCAATATCACGTAATTTGTTGCCGACTGATTGTATATCTTTCAATTTTTTGATACAATCTTCATTCTTTGAAGCAAGAAATAAACATGCCAATGTAACTGTATAAGGATCTTTTTCTAAGTCTTGATGAGATCCATCATTCAATTCTTCAAATTTATTGAAAAGGTAATATCTCTGATAATAATTCATGGTGGTTCCTAATACTCTTAAAGGAAATTTCAAAATCTTTATAATTTGGAACACATATTGATATATCTGATGCTTTCTTTGGTTATATGTTAATTTTTTCTGTTCGGGTATAGTAAATGCATGCAAGTATTTTAATTCTGAGCTTGTAAAATATGGTCTTGATACCTGAACTATAGTTGGAAAATTCTTAATTGTACTTGCTCCAGGAGTAGGAGTGTTAGTACTGGGTCTTTTCAAATCCGACATGGTTCGCTATTAAGTATTCGGTTATATTTATAGTTTATATGAACATGTTTTTTATATAGTGCTTAAATTATAAAATTGAAATCTTTTTTGATAGTTACCTGTATATAAGAAACAAGTACTATAGCTAAAGGTAATGGTTTTATCAATTGCAGAAGCTTCCAGATACTATATGTGATACTTAGGGTATACCAATGAGAAAGAGGAACCGGTAATGGGCTGGATATTCATATTGCTAGCTTTTGCATAAAATTTTCACTAATTAACAGAAAATATGTAAATTTGAATAACCATTTTGGCACTTGAAAATTGTAATACTACGAAACAAAGACATTTATCATAATCCATATATTTAGTAGGGATATTGAAAACAATATTTGGTACTATTTAAAGATAATAAAAAAATATTCTTATCCATACATTTTATATCACCTAAGCAGAGAATGATAAGGAGAAACCTAACTTATGGACTGGTTCAGCTAACTTTAAGGCATCGAAAGAAGCACCTAAGCCTAATCTAACACCTGGTCTTAATTCTTGGGAGTAAGCAAGAGCAGTTAAACCAGAGTCAGCAATCTTAGCCTTGACGAAGGCGGTTGAGTCCAACTTGTACTTGGTGGCAAATTCAACATTGACGTTGGAGGACTTGACAGAGTCCCAGGTAGCCTTAGCACCGGCTTCAACTAATGGAGAGACCTTGTGGTAGTAAGCAGCAGAGAAGATAGACAAGTTGTTGGTGGCAGTAGCAGCAACAGTGTACAATGGCTTAGCGTAACCAACACCTAAGGAGTATCTGTTAACCTTGGCAGAAGCAATGTCGTAACCTAATTCTGCACCGGCGGTGAAACCATCGTGGCCAACGGATAAGTCAGCTAAGGCAATTGGGCCCTTCAATAAATCGAAGAATAATCTGGCATTGACGGCGTTTTGTTGGTAGAAGAAGTTCAATTTGGCGTTTCTTGGACCGTTTGGAATCACAGAAGTGACCAATTCACCCTTTAAGCCCGGAGTCAATAATTCGGATAACTCGATCTTGGTGTCTAAAGAGTTGGCATTGTTCCATGCTTGAGTCAAAGTCAATCCTGATGGCTTATCAGCGTACTTAGCTTCAATGGATGCAGCAATAGAGTTATCCTTAGCAGTCTTACCCTTAACGGTGAAACCAACCCCATTTGGAGCAGTAGATTTAACATCAACTGCGGCTGTGGACAAGTGGAAGAAATCCTTGTTTAATAAATCGTTACTAGATTTTTGAATATCGGAGAATGCTGGTGGGGCCATTTTCTACTGTTTATTAATTGTTCAATTGTTAGTTATCACTAGACTTAGCTTTAAAATTACAATTTAGAAGAAGAAGAAAAAGAAAAAAAAACAAAAACAATCTAATTTTTGTTGGTTATAAACGCCGGCCTTAATTATTGGTTGGTGAGTGTCTCATCAAAAAGTGCACTATTAATTTTGGAATGTTAACAATTCATGGCCATTGGGTCACTCAATTTAAAGAGGGGGCCACACCTCTCACTCTACGAACCACACGGGACCATCCGTTTAGGATTGCAAACATAGTGTAGTCATCAACACCGTAGCATTGTACGAAACTAATATAGGAAGCATCCACGTTTAGTTTTAGCATTATGTCATTGGTTAGGCCGTGGGCATGTGATCTACACTATATAGGCAATATTGTAGATACCAACCCGGTGATGCCTGCGATGGGGTGGTCGTATAGAAGAGTTACGGGAGTCTTGGGTGACATATGGTGATGGAAATGAGTAGACGGGAGTATTGGGGCGGTGGAAAGACACTCCCGTAGACCTTATATTGATGCAGAGAAGTCAGTCATGGAGACACGATGGGGAAACCCCGGGTATACTGGTGTAAGGGTTTAAAGCTTATTGGTGTAGAGGTTTTTATACGGGCCGACAGTATGGGTAATACGATCCTCTAGTGTTGGGATTGTGACGCAGATAGAGACGGAAATGTGGATTTGATCGAACAGAAACAAGAAGGGCAGGTGTAGCTTATGTGGCTTCGAAACTAGAAAGAAGTGTTTAATGCCGCAAAGTTAGAAGCCGTTATGGATTGTTGAACTTCGCCGAAAGCCGGGCCCAGATGGGATGCAATCAACGTATAGGCGATAGCTAACATAATGCAACATCCAACAGCAATCATTTCCTCTATACACTTATTGTAGATGTACATGAAATTGGGGGATGATTGAATGGATGAAAACTTCATTAGATGCGTCCGGCGTTAGTGCGATTGACTGCGAAATCGCCTATGGCTAGTAATGGGGTCACCATTAGTGGAAATGTGGCTAGGGGACCATTAGACTATGTTTAAGGCTTCATATTCGATAAAAGGAGCTAATTGATCAATTTGGGTCAATTGGTGAAAACGAAAACGCGTTTGTATGGCTGCATGCATTGAAGGTCTGTAAGCTTGACGTTTACAATTCTTAGTTGTAACTAAACATGGGCCATGGTCTAACCGAACGATTCTTATGGGGTCCCATATATAAGCGTCTCCTAGGTCGAATAAAAACTGTGGTATCCTGGGTCAAGATGCTCCAGCGAACTGTACATAGAAAGACGCGATGAGTAAATATTGATGCAATATTTTTGATTCACGAGTTCAACTTGTTCTCCTTCATTAGAGTCATGACGAGTAGTAAGTTTAAATACACGTGGGGTATAGTTTATTGTCAAGAGACAGATCAGATCCTTCTACTCAACAGAGAAAAACACCCATGGATGGGCAGATGGAATGGAGTTGGAGGGAAGTTGGATCAAGAAGAAGACCAATTGACGTGTATTATCAGAGAAACTTGGGAAGAAACTGGTTTACATTTACCACAATATGAGCCTCGTGGTGTGATGACATGGAGTGAAAATGGAAAAGATCTTGGAGGAATGTATCTTTTTACAGCGGCTGTTACTAAGGAAGATGTTGAACGTTATCCTACGCCTAAGAAATTCTGCCACGAAGGAATATTAGATTGGAAGAATTTGGATTGGGTTATGCATCCAGATAACTCAGGTGTTGTAGACAATGTGAAGGTGATGCTAACAAATTTGTTCGAAGCTTCTGAGCGATCCTTATTTGTTACTAAATATTGGGATGGAAAACTAGCTGGGGTGGACTATATGCCTACCGGTCACTAATCCCAGAGATTCGATTAACGATGTACGACGGTGATGATAGGAAGTTCTATGTAATAAGCTTTATTAATATATGATGTACAATGCTAAAAGCGCTAAACTATGTAGTCCAAAGACGAGCAGTTCCGTCAGCACCAGCACTAAATAACCAGGCTTCTTTAGGGTGCCAAACTAAATCTAAGACACCAAGACTATTTATAATTTTGTGGCCAGTCAACTTCTTCAATGGAACCAATAATGGATTGGTCATTAAGTCATCGTAAACAGTACCGTGGAAAACATGAATCGATCCATCATCTGATGCTGATGCAAAAAGTGGTAAGTTAGCTTTATGGAATTTGATAGATCTTACTGCCTTATCGTGGTAACGCAATGTTTTGTAAGGAGTAGATGATAAATCTAAATCATGCCATAAAACTCTTTTATCGAAACTTGATGCTAACAAATTATCACCTCTTGGGTGGATATCGATATTAGACAACCATCTTGCACCAGGCATTAACTTTTTAACTAATACTTGTTGCGCTAAATCATAGATTCTAATGTAACGTTGAGATGCAACAAATAATTGTGGTTTAAATGGGTGGAATTTGGCATCCATAATAATACCTTTAGATTTCTTAAATGGCGATTGAGACAAATGTTTTGATAATTGATGGATCAATACTGATGAATGACCACTATCTGGTGATACAGTAACAAAGTAATCACCCTTTCTATGCCATGAAATCTTCTTCACTGTCTTACGACATTGGATTATAGCTGAAATACCTGCTTGTGACTGTTCTGCGTTAGGTGTAAACCATTTACAAACATCCTTCTTACCGCTGTTACTTTCAGATTTCTCTGCTTCTTCTTCATCCTCATCATCTGAGTTAACCTTAATGTTACTGTTCTTAGTCTTGGACTTGTTACCAAATGTGTCATAACCCCAACCAGATTCAATACGCAACCTACCGTTGTTTTCAATGTCGAATCCAAAAATTGGTGGCACAATAAGGTAAATATGTTCACCGGCGACGGCAGCTAAAATACCTGAATTACTGTCTGGATTCCATTCTAAACTTTCAATATTATCATCAGTATTATCGTCAGCAACAAGAACAGTTTTATATACCTGTCTACCAGTCAAGATTTCCCAAATACGTACTGACCCATCATCGGAACCAGTTGCCAACCATAATCCATCAGGACTAATAGACAAAGTACGTATCTTTTCTGTGTGACCTTGGAAAACAGTGGAACAACGAATAGGGAAAGGCCTCAAGTCCTTTGGAGATGGTAATTCAGGAATCAAGGAATCTGGATCAATGTTCAATTTATTATGACGAGTTCTTGGAGCTAAGTATAAGTCTAAACATCTTTCGAATCTCTCTCTTAATCCTTCTTGGTAACCTGGAACTTTTCTCAATGAGTTGTACTTTTGCGGAATAAAATTTTTGTCTCTGTCTTCAGGCTCTAATTCTAACCATTTTTTCTTTTCTTCCTCATTCATCAAATATTCTTCTGGTGGGTTATAAGATTCTTCATTGGTAGGAGGTGGTAATTTCGGAGCTCTCAAGTTCATTATATGATCATTTGTTTCTGATTCATTATCATTCCACAAATCAAAATTGTACTTTTCTTCTTCTTGTTGTTCTTTGACCTTATTAGGAGGAACAATTCTACCTTCTCTTATTGCTCTTACTATTTTCATGACTCTCTTGGCTTCATGTTTAGAAGGAACGAATCTTCTCTTAGGTTCTGGAACGGCTGTTAAAGGCATTACCTCAGTTTTTGATGTGAACCATTCGATAGTTGGTTCGTATGGGTTAATGTTTTCATCAGTACTTTCTTGGGCTTGAATCTTTCTAATCAACTCTAATTCATCATCTGTGATCTTTAATGATGAACCGGTATTTTGATCAAACAAACCAGTCCAGCCTTCAGGTAAGTCGATAGATTCCAATAATTGGTCCAAAGCAGAACCCTTAGCAGGCCTCATGATTCTCTTACCATTAATATCATAACCTATATGAGGCATTTCCTCGTACGCACTTAATGGAACATTACCAATAGTATTGAAGTTCTCGTTGTCACTGTCATCACTATCATAGATAGGGTTGATCTCTGGTTTTATAATTCTTGGACGTCCGTCTGAAAATTTTGTATGCACTTCATCCGCTTCGTCTTCAGTGGCATTAGAATAAGATCTGATTTGAGTGCCAGATAATTTATCAGTGATAGAGGCAGTCTCATCTCGTGGCTCGTCTGAAAATTCTTCAGAATCAACATCGCTCACATCTTCCTCTTCGCCTAATAACTCATTGAATTCTTCATCCGAGTCTCCATCTGATCCTTCCTCTTCTTCGTCGGCATCCTCAGATTCGGATTCTTCATCCTCACTAGCTGCATCATCTAATATTCCTTCAACTTGTAGTTCCTCATCTGATGAGCTTTCTTCCACAGCTTCCACTTCCTGCTTTCTCTTTCTCAGTTGCTTCTCAACAACCGTCTTTGGTGATCCAGTAGCCTTACTGTTACGAGCCATCCTTATAAATCGAATTGTTGTTTCTTATCCTAAAGAAATTCAAATAGGTCTTCATAAAAGGCCATATTTTTTTTTCAGTACTCATCTCAAAAAGAGCACGTGATTTTATGGATGTTCCGTTTATCTCTCTACAAACATGGTACAATTGATGAACTATTACTATACTACAGCCATACGTATTCATGAATGCTATACAGAAAATCAATAAGATCAACCAGAAGGAGCTAGAAAACAATGTCAGCGACTCTGCTTCTTGGCATGCTGATTACAAGGATACATCATACATATATATTGGTTTCTTACCATTCGATTTAAATGAAATGGATATTGTTAAAATATTTTCCCAGTACGGTATACCAACACATATAAACTTAATCAAAGATAAAGAAACTGGTAAGTCTCGTGGATTTTGTTATTTGAAGTATGAGGATTATAGATCGTGCGTGTTAGCTATAGACAACTTCAATGGTATACAATTGCGAGATAAAAAGATTAAAGTTGACCATGTCTACTATTATTTGAAAGATGGACAAGATGAGCATGATTTCATTATTGATTACACTAAGGCTGAGCGAGAATTAAAGGAAATTGAAGATGACTCAAAGAATAAGGAAACCAGGCTAATTGAAGGTAAACATGCGCCAGAAGATCCTATGGCAGAATATGTGAAGAGCAAAGAGGACGGTGAGTTTGTTGATCCAATGGCAAGCTATCTCAAAAATAAAGGAGATGATGATGATGAATTTATAGATCCAATGGCGGCGTATATTGAAAGCAATGAGGGTAAGCGTAGAAGCGACAGCCATAGACGTAGGCACAGACATAGAAGAGAAAGAAGCAGAGATAGGAGTTCGAGGGACAAGAGCCCGTCGAGGCGAAGACATAGAGACAAGAGCTCATCCAGTAGAAATCATAAAGATAAGAGCCCATCAAGCCGAACCAATAGAGAAAAAAGTTCAACAAGTCATCGAAATAGAGACAGGAGCCTGGTAGATGACAGGGAAATACAAAAGACTCAAAATAATCAATAGCCTTGCTATATTTATTATAAATCAATACACAAAGAGCAGAATGTGGGTCATTTTCTTTTAATATTATACTTTATTAATGAGGTAATTATATATAATAAATTGATAATTTATGCATAGTCCTTATTGTTTCTTGACTTTATGATCTATATAATAGTTGTAAAAGCTAATTTTTTGACCAATATTCAAATCCTGACCTATCAAATTTAATTGGCCTACTTCAAAGCAATGTTTCAGTAACCTAAAATCAAAATTATCTTTTAATTCAGAAGGTGCATGCTTGAAAATCTTAGCTCTAATAGAGCTGTTTTTATTCAAATTCGTCAATAACTTAGCAAAGTATCTCCATTTTGAAACAATTGGCAATGGAGTGGTTAAATAACCTGGTTGAATCTTTAAAATTACAGTTTTGAAATTGAACGTCGTCTTTGGGATGGCCGCGAGGTTATCCATAAATGGCAATATGGACTTATTATTAGATGGAGTACCCTCAATAAAACAGTACACTAGCTTGTCCTTCAAGGTGGAGTAATTGCCGATTTTGATGGTGCTGGTTGGAACACCAATATTAGTAGATAACGTATATCTAATAAGTCCCCAAATACTATATTGATATAAATCACCATCTTTGTTAGGAATTAAAACCGCGATCTTATTCCAATTGGCGTTCGATAATGCTGCCAAGATTAAGCCATCAATTGGAGACTGATAATTAACCACAACAAAATCACCAACAGTGGGTCTACTAGCATTTATTTCTCCAGTTCTTGATTTTTTGACCCCATCAACAGTCAAATCGTACTGCTTGAATCCAAATAGAACAAGTATTATAAAACGCCCAATAGCTGGGAAAGGGAACAACAAGTATAACGCTAATGAAAGGACGAAAATAGGTATTTTCATTAAAAAGACGATCACCTTGGGTACAATCATAAACAGCACCGCTGGCTCGGGAATAGGCATGAAGGGCGATATTCCCGTGCCTTTGTCTCTCCAGTTCGAAAATTTCTCCATTCCGTGTCGACTTTTATGATAGAACTGAAATTAATACCCACTACTGATTGCACTTTTCATGTTGACATCAAATGTCGCGACATCAAATACGAAAAATGTCGTGATGATAAATGTCACTCAAAACTTGAGTGATGCTCTATCCCTGTCTATGACCTTTTAAGACCACCACTATATACCAATTTTTCGCCATCGTCTTCGTCAATTGCGCCCTTTATTCTACGTCTCTTTAGAAATACATCCATACATTTACCTCATTAACTAAATAAGTAAAACTAATATACACGGATAAAGATCCTTTACCCCCTGAAGTGAACAATCAAGCTTATAATTCTTGAGAAGCATTACCTGCCTTGGCCTTCTTAGCTGGTAACAAGGATTGGTGAATGTTTGGTAAGACACCACCTTGAGCAATGGTAACGTGTCCTAATAACTTGTTCAATTCTTCATCATTTCTGATGGCTAATTGCAAGTGTCTTGGGATAATTCTCGACTTCTTGTTATCTCTAGCAGCGTTACCGGCCAATTCCAAGATTTCAGCAGCTAAATATTCCAAAACAGAAGTTAAGTAAACTGGAGCACCAGAACCAACTCTTTGTGCGTAGTTACCCTTTCTTAATAATCTATGGACTCTACCGACTGGGAAAGTCAAACCAGCCTTAGCTGATCTAGAAGTTGATGCTTTTTCCGAAGAACCGGCTTTACCTTTACCACCTGACATTGCTATTAATTTGTATTACTTTATATTATAAATACTTTATAACCAAAAATAAAATAATTCTTTATCAACTTGATGTGAATTGCCAACATTTATATACTAATGCTCACTAGAACCCGCACTCCTTACTATATACACACTGGTGTTTGTTTTTGTTATTACCGTTCGCCGCCATCGTCGTCGAATCGTCCGCCGCTCTTCGCGTAGTGACATATTCCCAAATATACGCATGCATGATTTGCGTTACGCCTATGTCAAGTATATACTCATAATTACACCGCGCGTCCCGTAAACACCAGCACTGCGCGCGCCACCGCGCCAATACAATAATATATGGTAATTTGCCATAGTATGCCATAGTCTACGATAATATACCATAATATACCCTGAAGACTCGCGGGAGAATCGCGGGAGACGTACACAAACAAACACTGGCGATAATCTCAGGGTTACCCTACCGGATAATATAGTCTCCCCTACAATCATTCATTCGCACTATCAATGAGGGCAAAATGTATATAAATAAGCGTAAATCAGCAATTGAGTAAAAAATAGGAAATTTAGAGGTATCAATTGAATATCACAATTATAATTGAATAGATACAATGGCACCAAAAGCTGAAAAGAAACCTGCTTCCAAGGCACCAGCCGAAAAGAAACCAGCAGCTAAGAAGACTGCTTCCGCTTCTAGCACCAAGAAGAGATCAAAGACCAGAAAGGAAACTTACTCCTCTTACATCTACAAGGTCTTGAAACAAACACATCCAGACACTGGTATTTCTCAAAAGGCCATGTCTATTATGAACTCTTTTGTTAACGATATTTTTGAAAGAATCGCTGGTGAAGCTTCCAAGTTAGCTGCTTACAACAAGAAGTCCACTATTTCTGCCAGAGAAATCCAAACTGCTGTTAGATTAATCTTGCCAGGTGAATTAGCTAAGCATGCTGTTTCGGAAGGTACCAGAGCTGTTACCAAATATTCTTCTGCTGCTAATTAAATGAGGTTGGGTTAGCCTGTTTAGGTGTGTATATTAGTTTACTTTAATGAATATGAAATAATATATTATTGAGTTTGTACATGAGATGTAGTTACAGTTATTGGAGGATTATTGGAAGCCAATGTGGCGCAATGTATATTTGTTTACAAGTATTTTTGTATATGAAGGATTTTGCAATAAATTACAAGAGATAAATATATTTTATGAGATTAAATATATGTACCTATATTGTATAATGCATCATGAAACTATATAGAAACTATATATGCAATAGGCTCAGATCATTTCACACGTTCAGAAGTATCATCCTGGGTATCATAATGCAACACAAGGAGCCAGCAGCATACAAGGTTAAAGAGGTGGTGGATCCAATACGTGTGACGGATACCATACACAAGACAGTAGAAAACATAGTACGCCAAAATGGCCTGAGTAACCTTGTATTTATTCTGGGACATTTTAGGCAATGTCCTGCTGCTGCTGTACCGCTCCATAAGCAATATTACTGGCAATATCGCTAAAAAGTTGTGATGCGACGAAAAAGGAGTGGTCCAATTGATTGTCATGTTGTGAACAAACACAACTAAGATGGGAACATTTATAGGTAACACCCAAAGCATCAATATAAATAGTGACAAGTGATAATTTAAGATGCTCTTGTTGGTTTTATCATCAATGAGAATCTTGATCACCTGGATCATTTGTATGATGCAGCTAATTACGTATGCAAATTGATAAGGCATGTATATAGGGATCACCAAGAGAACAAATATCACACCAATAATTCGACGATTCACCCATAATTTACCTGATTTCAGCTGTTGCTTCTCCGTCTGCGACGTCTTCAATCGATTTAATAAGATCCGGCTAATTGATGCAATCACATTACCAGCTACCAATAGTGAATAAAATGTTAATAAGACAATGCCAAGACTCATGATAAAGAAAACTGGCCCTATGAACCATAAACTCTTCTCCTCCAATCCCAAGAAAAAGGAATTCAACTTGAATTCATCCGTCAAACTTAAGTTAATTTCATTCGAATCTTGTAGAACGACTGGGTCAATTACGTTT